CCCTGGCTGCCCCCCCCAGCACCTCTGCCTCAGCACAGCTATTTTCAGCCACTGCCCCCAAGGGTGCAGGAGCCACAGCCCTGCCCCTGCCGGGGACCCAGTGAGCCTGGCCCACAGCAAGATGGGGCACGGGGCCGTGGGGCTGGGTTGCTTCTTTGCAGGGAGACGGCTAGAGACCAGACCTGGTCGGAGCCCCCCAGCTGCCCACCTGCAGCAGCCTCCTCTGGCACGGCCAGGGCGTTCGGCTCAGCGGGTGCAAGGAGCAGGGCGGTGGCTTGGCCCTGTTTGGCACATTTGGCATCCCTCAGCTCCGGCTGACACTGTCTGGCTTCTCCTAAGAGCCCCGGAGGGCAGGGGGTCCCCGCAGGGCCACAGCCGTGGCTGCCTGGCACTCGGCTCCCTGCCAGTTCTGAGTTCAACATTAACCCGTCTGCAAGGCAAGCATGGGACTTGCACCCAATCCTTCCCTCAACCCCTCTGGGGAGACCATACCCTGACCCCCACAGTGGCGATGTCCCCACTGCCAAGGCTGGGACATCCCCAAGCCCCGTGCACCCACCCTCTGCCCCCAGCGTGGGACCTCATCTCCCCTACCTGGCCAGGGGATGCCCCAGACGCTGAGGACCGAAGATGCTCTCCTGCTGTGTTGGGGATGAGGCTGAAGCCAAGCAGCCAAGCTGTGGCCACCAGCACTCGGTGGCCCCGGCTGGCCCTCCGCAGCACCCCCAGGCTCCCTGCCGCTCCCCCCACCCCGTGCTGGGCTCCAGCCCAGATGCCAAGGTCCGGCAGCGGGACAGCAGTTATTTCTGGCTGAGAAAGGGGGCGGAGCAGGGGCAACCCTTGGGGACCAGGACACCGTCACCCCAGCACGGAGCAGGGCTGACCCTTGGGGACCAGGACACCATCACCCCAGCATGGAGCAGGGGTGACCTCTGGGGACTGGGACACTGTCACCCTGGCACGGAGCAGGGCTGACCCTTGGGGACTGGGGTGGTGGCCGTGCAGCAGCGGCAGGAGGTGGCCGTGTGCCACACGTGCCCAGGCCAGCTCGGGGGCAGATCGGAGGCAGGCAGGCCAGGCCGGGTGGGATAGCGGCAGTTTATTTCTGAGCTGGGTACACAACCGTGTGGTGAAGGTGGGTCATGGTGGCTGGTGCGGCGAGGGG